TTTACTGAACAATGGAAACTTTTTGGAAAAATCCACATGAAAGCAGGATGCTCCCTCAAGCCGGGGGTCCTGTGTACCCACTCTTGACCTGCTGGGTAGGAGAGGCTCTGAAGGATGGCTTCTTCCCCCTCCTGTCCCAGGCCACCAGGCAGCTCCCTCAGTCCCTGGTCACTGCTCTCAGCTCCTCCTTTCCCTTCCAAAAAGCACAGCAGCCGGCCTGCTGCCATGGGAGCTCATTTTTCTCCAGTGCATGCTCTCATCCTGACTATCTCCCAGGGCCGAATCCACGGCGTTGGGGGGGCCAGGGGCAGAGGGAGATGGGAAAGGAGGGCAGTTGGGTAAGATCGAGAGCTGGGCTTGGGTGAGCACGTCCTTGGGAAGTCTGGGTGCCTGCTCTGCCCCGGCTGCATCAGCCCCCAGCCCCCCACTCCCCGGTCCTGCCTGACTCGAGCTAGGAACTGCCCAGTCATTCGGCTGCTGGCTCCAAAGCCCTCCTGGAGTCCACTACTTGTTCTCTATGTCGGACAGCTCCTGTGGCTGCCCCCCTCCTCATTCTTCTCCTTCAGCTTCATGCTGCCCTCCTGCCTCCAAGGGCCCCAGCCCCCAGTCAGCCTTCTCAGCAGCCCGTGAAAGTCAGCCTGGAATCCGGATGATGAGAAGTAGTAGACAAGGGGGTCAACACAGGAATTCAGGGTGCTAAGAAGCAGCACATAACTTCTCCACGCCGGGCTTTTACCCTGGATGTAGCCCACGACATGAGACACGTTGTAGGGCCCAAAGCAGACGAGGAAGTTGAGCAGGGTGGCTGCCACAAGCCCAACCACCCTCCTCCACCTCCGGTAGCTGGCTCCCTTGCTGAGCACCCATACCAGGTGGCCATAGCAGTAGCTGGTGATGAGCAGGGGCACCCCAAAAAGGACCACAGCCATCTCCAGCCTGACAGGCAGGAGAATAGCTAGCTGGTTCTCCTGGAATTCCAAGTAGCAAGTGCTATTGATAGTCTGGCTGTAGGAGGAGTTCCCTGAGAATTCGATGATGTAGACCACGCTGCAGTGAGCGCTGGCCAGGAGCCAGCAGGCCCCGCTGACCAGGCCGGCCTGTCCAGGCCTGGGCCGGGCCTTGTACCATAGCGGATAGGCCACGCTCAGAAAGCGCTCGATGCTTACAGCTGCCAGGAAGAGGGAGGTCAGATAGATGGTGGTGAAGAAGAGGAATCCGGAGAGGGGACAGAAGATGAAGGGCAGGGGCCAGCGCATGTCATTGGCAGCCTCCACCATGCGGAACGGCAGGAAGAGCAGCAGGAGCAGGTCTGAGAGGGTGAGGTTGAGCAAGAGCACGTCCACGGCCACTGGGCGCCGCCGCAGCTTGCCCACGAAGATCACCAGGGCCACCACGTTGAGGGGGAGCCCCACGAGGAAGGTGAAGAGGTACACGGAGAAGTAGAGCCAGTGATCGCCGGGGAAGAAGGATAAGTTCGGGCTTGTGCCCATGGTGCTGGCCACTGGAGAAAGAGACAGCTAGATGGAGGGGGCAGTCTGGTGGGGGGGGACCTTCGTTCCCCATGCCAGCAGCATCTCAACCATTGACAGGGAACCGTCACCCCCCACCCCCGACCGCCGCATGCCACCTGATGCTTTCTCCAGCAGGGTCAGCCTGCCTGTCTTCCTGGTCATGCCCTGTCCCCTGTCCCTTCCCACCAAGGGGGCCCCTTCCAAGTCCCTCATGGCCCCATGCTCACCTGCTTATTTGAGAACCCAACTGCTCTGCCCCCAGCACTATGCCGACTCCTGCAGAACAGTGTAAGTTAGCTATTTATCTGGCAGAACTGATAAAGACCCATGACATCATTCACTGTTGAGCAATTGCACAAAAGATGCCTTTAGCTCCTTTACCAGCACTGTGCCAGTATGCAAAATGAGGAGCAAATTCCAATGACTATGTGCCTGGCTCTTGGGCTGTCTCGGAGGGGATGCTCGAGCCAGCCCTGAGCCGGCTTCACCTTCCCCTTCCGGATCCTCCGCTTGATTTTTATCTGCTCCTCCGGGATGGCAGTCATCCAATTTGCCTTGTAAGGGCAGGAAGCATGCGGCAGTAATGGAGAGCCCGGAATCTGGGGCCAGTGGTCTGGGTACGCTGCCGGCTCTATCACTGACTCTGTGATCTGGGCAAGTGACCTAATCTCTCTATCTCTGCTTCCTCATCTGCAAAGCAGGGACCATCACAGTACCAATTTCATGGGGTTGTCATTAGATGAAAGCATTAATACCTGTCAAGGGCTGAGAAAGGAACCTGGCGTGTTGCGGTGAGCACTTAACAGATGTCAGCTGCCATCATCCCAGTCACTAGTGTGGGCTTGTCTCCGGGGTGATGGTAATCATAAGACTAAAGATGACAATGACTATTTAGGGGGCGCATAATCCATAGCAGACCCTCTGCCTCTGAGGGCATCGCCACTCTGTCCTCGGGCTTCCCTGTGGGGAGGTGACTCACTCCGGGCAATGCAGCTCATTAAGAATCACCACCAGGGTTCAAACCCCAGTTCTGTCCGACTTCAGAGATTATGGATTTATTCATTCAAATATTTATGGAGCACAGTGAGATAACAATTTTATACCCGCTGGAATGGCTATGGGCAAAAAATTGGACAATGCCAAATGGTGGGCAGGAGGTGAAGGAATAGGACCCCTCTCATACATTGCTGGTAAGAATATAAAGTGGTAGAGTGACTTTGAAAGCAGTTTTTTAAAACAGTTAATATCAATTTACCATGTGATCCAGCTCCACCTAGGTATCTACTTCAGCAATGTTCATAATAGCATTATTCATAATAGCCAAAAAGTAGAAACCCACCAGACCCCCAGTGGTCCATCAGCTGGTGAATGGATGGATCGTGTGGCATGTCCATACGATGGATTCCTGTTTGCCAGTAAAATGGAATGAAATACCTATGACTACTAGAACCTCAAAAACATGCCAAGTGAAACAAGCCAGACATAAAAGGCCATACACTGTATGTTTCCATTTATATGAAATATCCAGAACAGGCCAATTTGTATCTACAGAAAGTAAATTACTGGTTGCCCCAAGGACTTAGGGGGATTAACTGTAAATGAGCAGGACGGGGTCTTACTGGGCTGATGAACATGTTCTAAACTGGATGATAGTGACAGTTGCACACCTTAGTAAATTTGCTAAAAAGCATTGACTTGTACACTTAAAATGGGTGAATTTTATGAGATATCTATTTTATCTCAAATTAGTTGTTAAAAACAGTTTTTGCCGTCATGGGTTTGATGGAGTGAGGTCTCGGGGGATGGAGTGGTCAGAGGGTAATAAGGCCTCAGCACAGAGGCAGAGAACCACTGGGGAAGCACTTAAGGCAAAAGAATGGCAGGTGCACAGGCTGACCTGCTGGGGGGACCCTTGTAGAAGGCTTTGGGCTTAAGGGGCAAAGGTCATGAGGGTGCTGGCGGCAGATAGTGTGGGGCTTCAGGGACCCCAAGTGGAACTAAATTCCACCCCTAGGAGCAGGCACAATTCACCGGAAGAAGTGGTCCAACAGCAGCAGGTGCTCCCAAGCAGTGGGAGAGAGAGCGGTCCCTGGCTTTCTGGGAGGGGGGCAGTGAGGCCACTTGGGCTGGAGGTCGGCTTACCCTGAAGTTCTCTGCTCTCACCACTGTGCAGGGAATAAACTTGTTTCTCGCTTCTGCGGAGCCTCAGGCAAGTTACGTAACTTCTCTGGTCTGTTATCATTTAATTATAAAACAGGAAATAACATTTTCCTTGGAAGGCTATTGTGAACATTCATTCCTGTAGCAAACATTTGTTGAGAGCCTACTATGTGCCAAGCTCCCCTCTAGGTGCTGGGAATATATCAGCAAATAAAATTCCTTGCCCTCGTAGACATTTATGCATAGAAAGAGATAGCTTGTATAAACCGGTTCGTGCACGCCAGGCACGTAGCCAGCCCTTTTTGTGTCTTACGTGTTCGTGGCATTAACGTCTTTAGAGGAACAAGTTGCTTCATCAGAGCAGATACCCAGATGTTTGTCTCCTCCATGGCCACTCTCCTCTACCCACTCTCTTGGGGTTCAGGGTGCCACCATTCACCTTTGCAAAGTGGACCACAAGGACGGGCATTCACCCTGATACCCCAAGTGTTTCAAATGCCCCCTAACCCTTGGGGGTCTTGCCTTGAAGGATTGCATCCCACATCCCACCCCTTCCTTGCTGTAGAGCCTTGGGAAAATTTCTTAACCTGCAAAGACGGTGATAATACTTGGTCAGGGACTGTAGCTGACTTATGCTGTGCCTCTGTACAAATTAGGAAAAGGCACCCCCCCTCCAGGTGGCAGCACCCTCCGCCAGGATGCACTGCTCGAGGAGTGAGTGGTATCTTTGTTCACATTAGGATAACATGTTCCTTCCTCTGGATGGAAGCAGCCCCATGCCAGGCACATGGCTTGGCGAGCAAACACAGGTTAGAATTTAGTCAGTTTGCCCGTCTGCCTGGCACACTTGTGCAGTGAACCACCTGCCCAACTGTACAGCAGCTGCATGGCCAAATCAAAGGATTGTGTGAAATGGGACCACACTTTTAAAGCGCTTGATGTGGTGACTGTCACATCTTAGAGACTCTGTATTTGTTTGTGACTATTTCTGGTGTTGCTGGTATTTTTTCTCCGTGCTGAAGCAGCTTTTCCTACCAACTTCCTGTTCACAGTTCCAATGCTGCCCTCTTGTGAGTTCCACATGGTATAACAGCATCGATATCTTGCCTCCTGCCTCTTCTCTTACTCAGAAATTAAACTGTTCTTTCCTAGGAAGCATTTTGGGAGTAGCATCCCCCAAAGTGTATCATCAGAGTGGCATTTCCTCTAGATTGGAAGAAAACTTCCATAGCCCTGGCAGGTGGGGCAGGAGGGGAAGAGGGACAGGCAGAGGTGGGGAGTCGTGCTGATACGCACAGAGGCAAGCTTACCTTCCTTCTGTGACCTAGCCCCTGGCCTCCGTTCTTCCCTCCAGCTGGGATGCAGTCTTCTGCCAGGCTCAGTTCTTTCCATAGCCGGTCCAAGGATGCTCCCAGGCCAGGCTGCCCTGCAGTTCCTTTGGCTCCGGGCTCCAGGGGCCCGGACAAGCAGCCAGGCTCTCCTGCTCCATGCCCCTTCACCCCAGCAGTGGCTACTACTTCTGGGATGTCCCTCCTTTCGTTCTTGCCACACTTGTTACCCGCCCAGCACCCCCTCCCAAGTAGCCAGTCACCAGCGGGTTGAGCACCACACTCCAAGCCCCTGTGATGAGCCCCAGTTTCCGCCAGTAGCCTCCCATGTCGGGGTGCAGGAAGCCAGCCACATTGGAGGCATTGTAAGGTCCTAAGCAGAGCAGCAGCGTGAGCAGAGCCCCGCCAGCCACCCAGGCTGCCCTTAGCTTCCGTCTGTGGCTCAGGCCTGAGCGGACCAGTGCCCGGAGGCAGCCCACGTAGCAGAACACTGTAATGCTCAGGGGCAGGAAGAAGAGCAGGAGAGAGAGGCTGAGGCGAGCAGGGCCCGCTGAGGCTGGGTCCCAGGCCTCCAGGCAGACTGGAGAGCCGTTGACTGGTGTGTTGATACCCAGGGAGCTGGTGGTATTGTCCATCCAGCCTCCCGGAGCCTCCAGCCCAAACACCAGCCCCAGGTGACAGAGGACAAGGGCCCATATGGCCGCACACACCCCCCAGGAATAGCGCGGCCTCCGGGCCGCTTGGTAGCCCAAGGGGAAGGCAGCCCCTAGGTAGCGGCCGACGCTCAGGGCAGCCAGGAAGCCCCCGCCAGCATAGAGCGGAGCGAAGTGGGCCAGGGCAAAGGCAGGACAGAGTGGGGCCGGCAGAGGCCAGGCGCCCAAGGCCAGGGCCTCCACTGCCTTCAGGGGCAGAGAGGCTGCCAGCAGGAGGTCAGAGCAGCCCAGGTGGAGGGCATAGACAAGGCTGGGGGTGAGGCGGAGCCGGGCATGGGACACGGCGCCCCCAATGGCCAGGGCGTTGAGCGGGAAGCCCAGCGCAAAGGCGGCCGCGTAGAGAGCGAAGGAGAGCTGCGGGGGCAGGTCCATGGGGCCGGGGTTGGCCTCCGCGCTCCTGAGCTCCCCTTGCTCCCCACCCTTGGGTCGGCCTGGGGCGGGGCGTGGGGGAGGGGGTCAGGGGCCCCTGGGGTCACAGACTGCTCAGGGTATTAGAAGCCATCTAGTGAGATACCAACTATCTCAACCAGAGAGGCCCACTAGGGAGGTGGTGCCAGTGAGCAGGTGAGCCTGGGTTCCGAGTGAGGATGGCCCGCCCTCCGTCCTTTGCTTTCTTTCCACCATACCCTCTCTTAGAACACAACGGAAGCGGGCACGTCCCGTTAGAGGAAAGACCTCCAGATTTCTGAGACTAGGGAGAGAAAGGGTAGAAAATTAGCAGAGTTGGGCCCCACGGTGTGTGTGTTTTTCCTAGGCCTGGAAGTTAGAGTCCTGCATCCACTCCCCTCCCCCAATTGCCTGGAAGGGAAGCAGCTGCCCCCTCCCCCCAACAGGGACAGCGGAAAGCCTGCAGAGCAGCTGGTGGAGGGTGGGTGGCAACTCCTACCCGGGTGGGGGGAGGGGGATGTCAGAATTTGGGTAAGGTGGAGACTGTGGCCAAGGGCAGGTGAAGGGGGGGGGGTGCCAGGGCAGAGCCCAGGGGTAAGCCGGGTCCCATCAGTGCCATAGGGAATGACCTTAACCAACTCCAGGGGGCACGCTAAGCGGGTAAGCTGAGGAGTCTGTGGGAAGGACAGAGTGGGGCCGGAAGAGAGGAGCCACAGAAAGAGGGACTCACCTCTTGGCGCTGCCTGCTGTCTCTGAGGCTCAGGAGTCCCCCTGGCTGGGCTGAGGGAGGGTGTCCGGGTTGGGCAGTGAGCTGGAAGAGAGGGCGGGGTGGCAGGGCCATTAGCCTGAGCCATCAGCAGCCTGGGTGAGCAGCTAATGGGGCATCTCGAGCAGGAGCTGAGGCCAGGAGGTGAGGGTCCAAACAGATGATGCAAACACAGGAAGGGGACAGGGTAGCACTGAGGGTTTTTTCCTAGGCAGCGTGAGGAGTGTGCAGCTAGTCCCTTAAAGGAGCAGGGTTGTCGGGGGACAACCAGATCACAGCTCAATCCCACCCCACCCCAGCCTGTTCAGACCTGCTCTGGGCACTGTCTTCTCTCCTCCTGGATGAGCCTGTGGACAGGCCCCTGCTTTACGCGCTCGCTCATAGATAACACACTATGGTGGCCCACACCACGTCCGTTTGGTGACTGATATATGTGGGATGATGGAGTCATCATTTCAAGGTGTTGTCTCTGCAACAGGCTGTGGGCACGTTTTGGGAGGAGAAGGTTTTCCCTCTCCTTTCCCCTCTGGCTCGAAGACAATAATTTCTGACCCTACCTTCTGGTGCTGGCAGAAGTGCAGAGGAGGACAGACAAGGGATGGGTCTCCTTTGGTGGCACTGAAGTGCTGGGCTTCTCTCTGGGGCACTTGGAGGGACACTGAGCGGCTCTTACTAAAGCACAGATGGTGCAAGTCTCCAACTGGCTGCTTAGCTTTCTTCTCGGCCTCTGAGAAGTCAGCCGTTTACCTACCCTGCCCCTCTAGGAAGACCTAAGTGAGATTTAAAATGGCCACAGGCTGTCTCTGTGATTCTGTCTCTCTCTCTCTCTGACTATGCCTGGGTCTCTCTGTCTGCCTGTCTCTGCCTCAAACAGACAACACAGCCTCTCTCTGGACTTCAGACTTCTCTGTTTTGGGGTGCGTGTGTCGGTCATCAGGCCGCTACATCCTTCCAAATCCCCAAACAAGTCACCCCAAACAAGCTTCACTGGTGGTTTCCCGGAAGTGCTCCCCACCAGGCTTCCGGTGAGGGCAGCATGGGATTCTCAGCATATCAACCATTGCCTCCAAAGAAATAATCGGATCCCCTTTTTCTACTTCAGTCACTCAACTAATTCTTGGTTGCCTCCCTGTCCTACCTACGTCATCCAGCAGCTCCCTTGGGGTGTAGAAGAACTTGCCATCTGTTGTTTAGTATTTTATCTTTGAGAAACTGACAGAACTGAAGAAAAGTTAAAAGGAGGGCCATTTCACCTCCTGTAACCAGCATTTGGAAGAGGAGAAAAGCAGGGCGTGAAGGGAGACGTTGGATCTCCAAGATCCCTGCTTTGGCCCATGCCTCTGGCGGTTCAGGTCTCTGCCCAGTGTCACCTCTGCCGAGGGCCTTCCTCGAACCCTCTCCAAATGGGCCCCTCCCCTGCTCCAGTCTGCCTTCATCTTGCATGGTGTTTATTCCTAGCACTCACGAGCCTGTGACATCAGATTTGCTGGCCCCTCTGCTAGAATGTTGGTCAGTGAGGCCCAAGATTTCTGTCTGCTTTATCCTCTGCTTGTTGCATCCACAGTAGGGGCTCAATAATTGAATGAACCGCTGGATGTCTGGGCCATGGGAGGACCGTGAGATCCGGGGCTGCATAGAGGGCTGCCTGGATTCTGGAGGCCCTGGCTTCAGAGTTGTTTGAACTCTCTTGGCCTGTTAACAGTCACATCTCTCGGTCAATTGGTCACGAAGTAGGTTTATGTCAGCAGCTGGGCTCGGACAGGATGGCAGGGCCCCTGCTGGTTGCCGCGGAGCCCGGGCCAGGCCTCACCAGGTTCAGGGCTGCCTTCAGCTCTTTAGAGGGGACCCTGCCCTAAAACCTTTGGGGCACCCTAGACTAGAGATCACCAAGATGAGGATGATGTCATTCCTTTTTTGTACCCCAACAAATGTTCTATGCTGGATGCATTGACGTGTGCTTGGTAAATGTTTGCTGAATAAACAGTTGAATGGGTGAATGATCCTGGACCTCATTCTTGAGACAGAAAGCCCAAACCCTTACCCTCAATGAGACAGTTCTTGCTGTCCTCCCTTCCTCCAGAAGTGCTAACTTCACACTGGGGACAAAGTGGGTTGGTGGGGAAATGAGTGCCTCGGTCTGCCGTAATCCCAAGGATGACCAGAACATCGTCTTCTCAGAAAGCAGATTCCGGTCTCAAGCAGATGGGAAGGGAGGGAGGGAAGGGAGGTGGCATGTGTGGCGCGCCCACCGCGGGCCGGGAACTTACATCCGCTTGCTGATGGACTAACTACGTGTTTCTTCTTCTAAGAATAGGTGGAGAAAGGTCAAACCTGAGACGTGGAGGGGAAGCTGGGAGGACCTAGCTGGAAAGTCTGAGTTAGCGAACATGACAGGGAGCGGGTGATGTGAGGGTAGGGGAGAGAAAAGTGGTGAGGTTTCTCAAGGCAGAGAAGTTCTTTGCGGGAAGTTCTTTCAAGAAGTTCTTGGGCAACTGTGGGTTGTGACCGACCTTGGCAGCGGGACTTTTGAGAACAGCTGAGAGTGATGCATCGGCTTCCCCTTCTTATATTATTCAAGAGCGGCAGACCAGATGGCGGTCTGGTTTTTGGGGACTTTTGGCTGTTATGTCAGGTTTCTGATAATGTGACTCCAACACATGTACTACTGTCCCTCACTTCTTCTTTTTTTTAATTTTTTTATTTTTTCTTCTTTTTTTAAAAAAATATTGTATTTATTTATTTATTTATTTGACAGAGACACAGCGAGAGAGGGAACACAAGCAGGGGGAGTGGGAGAGGGAGAAGCAGGCCCCCCCGCAGAGCAGGGAGCCCGACGCGGGGCTCGATCCCAGGACCCTGGGATCATGACCTGAGCCGAAGGCAGATGCCCAACCAGCTGAGCCACCCAGGCGCCCCGTCCCTCACTTCTTCTCTTGAGCCGCCCACACCATAGGTGGTGGCACCTCCATTTTGCAGATGAAGAAACTGAGGCTCAGATGAGCTGGTCACTGAGCTCATTAGCAGAAGGGTCAGGACTCAGACTTGCGCTGGTCCACCTGTAGGGCCAGTGCACCCTTTGCAACAAGACAATGGACTCCCCGGTCTGCTGATTTGACCCTGAGGTTGCCCCAACCCCTTTCTCTTCTCCCCAAGCCCCACGAGGCCCTCCTAAATCTCCCCGTTGTTACTCTGACCTCACAAACTGGAAGTTGTTCACTTTGAAGTGGTATCTGAGCCATTTTTATTATGCAGTTCTGTGTGTGTTAACACGTCTGTCCACACCAGTGTGTGTCTCAGCCCACAAGACCCCCGAGGCAGGGGCTGCAGCAGCGTAATGGAATGCCTCACTGATGCGTGGAGGAGAACCCAGCGCAGGACAGCCCCTCTTCTCCCTGAGCTTTGCCCCAGAGGCAGAAATTAGGCACAGGACGAGTGAGTGGGGCTTTCAGAGCAGGGATGAGGGGGCCATAGGAATGGAGAGGGAGAGAAAAAAATACAGTAACAAGCTGATCCCAGCAGGGACGCTGGCCTGCTGGGGACGGGGTTTGAGGGGGTGGGCGGTGGCAGGTGGTCGGGGAGGGGCAGGGGGATGTGTGCAGTGCAGGGTCAGTGTTTAGACAACCTTCCCCGTGGGACAGAGAGCAGACGGGGAGCAGGCCTTTGGGAGGGTCAGGGTTACCATCGTTGAGAAGGAAGCCTGCCTCTGGGCCACATACCGACGTTCTGGGCGCTGACTGAGGCATCACTGGTGATGTGCATGCGTGCATGTGCCTGCATGTGGAGGGGAGGCCGAGTGGCTTTGCGACTGAGCAGGAGTGGGTGGGGCAGTCTCCACGACCACCCGGCCCCTGCAGTCCCTCCCTTGGCGCCTCTGCTCCAGCAGGTTTGGCCTGTCAGTGCTTGAGGGTCACGTATTCCACGGCTTCCTGGGCCACAGGCCGCTTCCCCAACCCAAGATGAACCAGCTCTGAGTAATGTATCCCCTCATCTTCTGGACTGTCTGGAAGCACGTTCTCATAGTCGCCCTGAGAAAGCCACGTTGTGTGAGGCCACGGGCCTCCCGGTCTGCGTTCCCTGCCTGTTCCCTCCCTGGCTCCTCCCGGGGGGCCAAGAGCCCGAGCAGGAGTCTTCTTGTCCCCACGCTGGCTGCAGTCAGCGTCTCGGACTGGGCTGTGCTGCCCTGGCTCCGACCACACCCGTGTCTGAGCGAAACGCCCCC